GGGGGGGCCGTGGGGCCAGGTACTACAGAGTAGCTGCAGGGGTCCAGGCTGGAGGGACCTGGGTGTTGGTAGCCCAAGCTGGGTGATGTCCTTCCATCCAGATTCTGTGGCATGACTGTGCTAGTGGATTTGCACGCCAAAGCTGGGGTTCAGCGGATGTGCAGCAATAACAGTAACTGCTCTGTTTACTAAATGGCATCTCTGTCATACTACATTGGCCATGATTTTCAAAAACAGGGATTCCAAGGTTGCACTCCCAAATCCATGTTTAGGCACATAAATATGTGGCCTAATTTTCACAGAAAAGCTGCTCGCATTGAATAGCTGTTGTTGTTGTTGTTAATGTTCAGTTTCTGGGTTGGTGGGTGCTTTTTTTTCTGTCAAAACACAAGTTGCTTATCTCTCCTGGAGTGTTCTGGCATCTCCTTTTCCATAAAGCTGTTAGCTTTTGATTTAAAAGAAAAGCAACAAACCCAGACCAGTTATCCCAGTCAGACTCATTTCCCATCAGCAAAATTATTCATTAGTTGCTTATGCTACTGTGGGGCTGAGCAACCAGTTTTAAAGGAAGATATGGTGCAGCTTCTACCAGACTATGATTTACTCTTTGCAGCACAGTAAATCATTTAAATGCTCACACCTTCATTCCTGAGGAAGCAAGTGAAGCGTGTGAGGCTCTGGTGGGCACAGTGAAATAAAACTTTGACTTAATGCAAAGCTGAAATGCATGAAGTGGAGAGAAGCCAGAAGGGAAGCTGAGTTTTATTTTTGCTGCTCATGCTGAGTGCCTGAGTGCAGGCTGGGCTGATGGATATTTTCTAACCAAAGCAGCTACTCAGACCCAGCACTTCTTTCTCCTGTCTGTCCTCTCCCAGTGCACCAGTACCTGTGGCCAAGGCTACCAGATGAGAGCGGTGAAGTGTGTCGTGGGCACCTATGTGTCAGTGGTGGATGATAATGAGTGTAATGCTGCAACCAGACCTACAGATACCCAGGTAAATCCTGCTGGCCTGGCTCCATCTTTTGCCAGCGTACAGAGGCAACCAGGCTGCAGCTTCAGGGGATGTCTTGCAGCAGCAAAGGCTTGTCCTGAGTGCCAGCCTATGTCAAGCACTATCTTGGTCCTCTAAGAGCTCATGAGCTGAAGAAGCAGCAGTAGATGAATATGGGAAGACAACCAGAGAGCAGGAGGGTACACATTCTTTGGCTTGCACGGGGTCTGGGATGCCTGGCTGCAGTCTGGGCTCGCTTGGCTGCAGGACTGTTGTTGTGTGGTACAAATGACAACGAGGGGCCATCATTTCTTGTCTGCTGCATGTGACAATATAGTGTCTGTGCCAGCTACAATTCCGGATGCGTCTGCCCTGGCCAGATACATTGAGAAGTGTTGCACACCATTTGCAGATTTGCTGAAGTGGCTTTCCAGGCTGTGTTCCCTGGTACTTGGAAGTGAACATGTAAATTCCCATTTCGAGCAGAAGATGTGTCTGGGGTGCCTGAAGGAGTTGAGTAAAACAGCACATTACCATCTCTCTGTCAGCTGGGAAGGTCACAGTGCTTGACTCCCTGCCCAGCTTTGGTCCCGCATGACTTCACAGGGTTTAACTGAGGCCATGACACTTAGCAAAGGGCTGTTTTTCCCATGTATGGAGACCAAGTGCACTGTAGTCAAGGGGTAACAAACCCACTTGTCATCAGCCATCCCTTGGCATGCACGTCTCCAGTGTAAGTGAAATCACAGCAATGCGGAAATCATTTATGCCATTTGTCAAGAGCTGCTCTCTCCCTCGTGGTGACGATCAGTATTAATTTCCTTTTTGGCAAAGGCTGCTCATAGACTCATGGAGTAAAGTCACAGCTATTCATCATTTCTGTTGCCAGACCTCCCAGGAGGTCCTGACAGGACCAGAGCCCTCCTGTTAGGCACTGTACCAAGGCTGAGCGGAATGACACGCCTGTCCCCAAAACCTTGCATGCTTAGTGTGTGGTGAAGATCAGCATGTGGATATAGGTCATCTGCTGGGCTGCAGGGCATCAAAGGGCTGCAATCAGCTCAGCAGCATAACCTTTATTGAGTGGGCTGCAGGTCTTGGGCTGAAGGAAGAGAGCTTTGAAGGGAGATAAAGTTGCTGCTTCGCAGATGTGTGTTCATATCAAAACTCTCTTAATGAACTTTCATCTTTTGCCTCAAAACCATCTGGTTTTAGCACATGGAGATGGCACATAGTTATGGGGATACCTATTGTAGAGTTCTGAAGAAATCAAAAGTCCGCCGAGGTTCTGCATATGAAGCCCTTGGGGGGTATTGATACCAAATTTTGCTGATTCACCAAGAAGATGCAAGGAAAAAACCTGCCAACACACGAGCATGCAGGTCACAGATTTTCAAGATGTTGTGTGTGGTTGATAATTACACTGAAGAGGAGGTGGTTTAACTGAAACATCTATAAATTCTTTATTTCCCTCTTTTCCCTCATGTATTTCATGTGCAGGACTGTGAAATAGCAACGTGTCCTCCTCATCCAAATAGTCCTGAAGCCAAGAGATCCATACCAGGCATTCACAGGACACAGTGGAGATTTGGGTCCTGGACACCGGTAAGTGTGTGGCATAATCCTTTCAGGATTATTTCACAGTAGACAGTGTGATCTTTTTAAGGGTCTTTGACCAGCTTTTCATTCCAAAGCCCTTGGAATATATATCAGGAAACTTTCTAGTGGAGTGCTTGTTGATCTTCCCTAGTGCTCTGCCACATGTGGGAAGGGTACCCGGATGAGGTATGTCAGCTGTCGGGATGACCAGGGCTCGGTGGCCGACGAGTCAGCTTGTTTCCACCTCCCGAAGCCATCAGCCACAGAAATGTGCACCGTGACACCATGTGGGCAGTGGAAAGCCTTGGAGTGGAGCTCTGTAAGCATCGTGTCTCTGGCAGGACAGGCCTATAGACCTCGTTACTGGAAATGTGTTTCATTAATCTGTCACCCTTGCCCTTGAGTAAGGGAGGAGTTAAAGGTTTTCTGCTGTTTGTTACCAGCAGTAGCTGTCTGTCTGTTTTTCAAAGCTGGAAATGTGACTTGTCTCTCCTTTTCCCACTGTTGATGCAGTGCTCGGTGACTTGTGGTCAAGGTAAGGCAACGCGACAAGTGATCTGCATCAATTACAGTGACCAGCTGGTGGATAGGAGTGAGTGTGACCCAGACGACCTCCCTGCCACCGAGCAAGATTGCTCCATGTCTCCTTGTCATCCAAACAGCCCTGACTTCGGCAGGCCCATCCACCCTTTCCTCTATCCGGATCATCGCCTGAAACTTCACCCTGGAGGGAGCCCAAACCGAAACCGTGCCCACGTACCAGGAGGCAATCAGTGGAGGATTGGCCCCTGGGGTGCAGTAAGTGCCCTGATTTTCTTATTGCTGTTAATTTTTTAATTATCCCCCCCCTGCCCTGGGCTAATCCAGGCTTTTCTTAATGTCACCACACAGGGAAAGGAGGGACCCTTCTCCCTGCTTACACCAGCGAGTGTTGCAGAGGGTGCAGGGATCACTTCTCAGCCTCTTACACCTCGTATCTCCAAGGGTTTCCAGGCAGAAAGTTGATGGCATCATTTTCCATGAGGCCAACCTCTGTTTCTTGGCCTTCTCCCAGGACATTTACAGCTGTGCAGAGCTGTTGCCAAAGCACAGCAGAGCCTCAGTGCCAGCTCCTCTCGCCCCAGCCAGTCTGCAAAACTTGATCACAGAAATCCCTAAAGGGAATTTAGCACAAATGGGATGTCAGAATACTGCATTAAAGGCAGTGGGGATTACTCACCTGCTTAAAACTAGGCTTGTCTTCATTTTCCTTGCTTAGTCAGCATCTAAGTCATTGCACTGCTATTAGTAATAGCAGTTTTTGAAGTTAATAATGCCTGCTAGCTCTGTTCAGTTTCTTAGCTGTACATTCCCACGGTGCAAGGCACTGGGAAGGAGATGGGAATGCAGAATTATTCCTGGCCTCAACAAAGCCCTGGGCAATTGTGTCTTCCAGTGCTCTAGCACGTGTGCGGGGGGGTTCCAGCGGCGGGTCGTGGTGTGCCAGGATGAGAACGGATACACCGCAAATAACTGCGATGAGAAAAGCAAACCCATGGAGCAGAGATCGTGTGAATCTGGCCCCTGTCCCCAGTGGGCTTATGGCAACTGGGGAGAGGTGAGTGCACCGGCCATCCCAGGCTCCCTGCGCAGGGTAGGGTGTCTGTTAGCAAGTGGCTGGGAAATGGGAGAAGAGGGGGATGTTGCAGTCACGTTTATTAGAAAGATTGGCCCCTGCAAGGCAGCCCTCTGATAGATGAGTGAACACCTGCAACTGCTTGGTAGTGTTTGCCTTTCCATTTGTCTTGGCGAAATTTTCTTCCCAGGCAAAAGCAAATTCTACAAAAAGTGAGATGATTTGTTTTATTTTTCCTTTGAAGGAGAAGTCTGGCTTACCCAAAGGCCTTTTTTCTTAATAAAAACTCTGCTCCATTCTGAAAATTCATCTGAGACAAGGAGTTAGAGATGTTAACCTCTAGTATCATGTTGGGTCTGGCAGTATAATATCATTGTGGAGCAGCATGAACTGCTTTGGGAAGAGAGAGAAGCTAAAGCAGCTGATGCCCCTTCTGAGGCTCGTGCAGAGTTTGGGAGGGATCAGGCTGCATGGGTTGGTACGGAAGAAAAGCAACCACCAGGTCTTGAGAGGTGCTGGTGTTTCCAGCGCCCGGTCGACAATATTTTTGCTGCCCAGATGGTGATTCCTCTGTCCTCTGCTGACTTTCAGTGCACCAAGCCATGTGGGGCAGGGACAAGGACACGGCTGGTCGTGTGCCAGCGCCCGAACGGAGAAAGGTTTACGGATCTGAGCTGTGAAATCCTGGACAAGCCACCAGACAGAGAGCAATGCAATGTGCAGGACTGTCCTAGAGATGCTGCCTGGAGCACTGGTCCTTGGAGCTCGGTACGACCATAAACTCTTTCTCTTTGTGAACAGTTTTGTGGATATCCCGTAACAACAGATTTAATTTGCTTCAAACCAAGGTGCTAACGCTTCGTGTCTTGAAACTGCACTTAAAGAGGATTATTGACAATATATTCAGAATAACACCTGTTCAGGAAGGGCTTACATTAGGGGAGCTTGAGTCCTTTAATTTAAAAGGCACTTTCTGCTAATTAACCACCTTTGTCCATTTTATTACACTGTGCCAGGGCTTTGCATTGCGAGTCTGGGTTCTGGCTGAGTTCTTTGCATTTGGATTTAAACCTGGCATTTAAGCAGTGCATTTCCATGGAAGTTAAATTGTTCTGATATTTAATGGGAATGCTGCACTGTGCTCCTCCGGGTTTCCCAGCTGGCTGTTCTCTGCCAAAAGCAAGATGACAGAGGAAAATGTGGACTAAATTGCATCAACCCCCAAGTGTGTTCCAGTGCATATAGATGTGTGTGTGTCCCTACGTGCCCCCACACACCCAGCTATATAGAAACACGTGTGCATTCATGCCCATGCTCTGTTTCTATTCCCATGTATGTATAATATGAGTGTGATGTACTGTGCAAAGGCACCTGTGAGCTGTTCTCATGCATCTCTCTGTATCTGGAGAGCTATTGCCTGGCTTGATCTCCAGCTGCTGCTCTAGATGTCATTAAGTCAGCAAGGGATCAGCAAGGTGGTCAAAGGCTTAAAACCCTGGGAATTTTCTAATAACAAAATAGTGTTTGGAGCAGAGGTGTCTCACATTGCTCCTTTGCCACTAAAAAAGTTTGCTACAGAGGTGCTTTTGTGAGGGCAGAGCAGCCCGGAACTGGAGGACTGAGATGGTGTTTTGGACTTGGAAATTCAACCTGACCAGAGCAGCAGCTTTTGCTGGGCACACAGCCCTGCTGGGTGGCTGGGGCTGAACCCCATGCCAAGGCAAGTGCTGCCTGGGGTACTTCTGGCATGTTGAAAACCACCAACCTGCCAGTTTTGGAGCAGCCTTCAAACAAATGTCAACCTTTATTGTGTATTTTGTTATAAAAGCATTTGAAGATTTAAAAAATAATAATAATTTGACTCAAAAGCACTTTAGAGACAAAAAAAAAAGGTCTGTTTATAATGTATTGAACTTCCTTAATTGTCATGGTTTTAAAAGTCATCTTGCTAAAACAGAACCACAATCTGGTTTCTGTTGGTGCTTTCAGTAACACAGATGCCTTCAGTAATGCTCCTCAGTATTTTTATCATACCTCAGTGAGTTATGCAGTAGCCATAAAACTGCCCAACTGGTTTTTATAAGGTGCTTCACCAGTACAGGGGACAGTGATATAAAATATTTCATTTGAGGTGCTCATGGATCACTCGTACACTGATATAGTTGGTGCTAAAAATGAGCCAGGTGAGCCCAGCAGGACCTAGCAACCTGAGCAGTGCCTTCCCTGCAGTATTCCCAGCTGGGAATTGCTGCCAACCTTTGTTACCTGGGCCCAACCATTTGCAAGAACCACGCGTGTGGACAGGGTTGTGTTGCGTTTTGGTGTTGCTGCTCAGCTTTGAGCCTCTTCAGAGCTGTTGAGGAGCAGGCTCCAGGGCTGCATCAGCTCCTCAGTGTCAGAAATGCAGGGTGCAGTCCTGTCTTTTGGGTTTGGGTTGGGTTGTTTATTTTTTTCACCCAGGAAAAACTCCCTTGACTCTACTAAGTCGTATTAACCTTGGTGTGTTGTCCCTTGTTGGGAGCAGGTGGGATGTCAGGCAAAGAGGCAGAGGGCAGGGGCATCCTACCCTGCCTGCAGCATCTCCTCCTGGCTGCCCGTGGGGGAAGGGGCTGCAGAGCTGAGCCCCAGTCATTGCCACAAAGTGACTTGAGTCTTCAGGTCTTACTGCCGAGGTGTCATTTGGCTCTGATGTAGGGGACCCCAGAGCTGTTTGAAGACTGATCTGTGGGGTCACAAGGGCTTCGTGTCCCTCCTGCAGAACACTTCCCATATGTGTCTACCTCGTGCTACTACTGTAGGTAGTAACATCCAAATTGGTTTTCTTTAGTGTGGTATCACCTGGATTTGCTTTAGCTCTGTCATGGGTTGCAAACATCATTCTGTAGCTGTACATACTTCATCTGTTGGGATGGAGTGTCACTACCATATTTTTTTGGTCACTTTTGAAACAAGAGTATAGTATTAGCTGAAACTTTTCAGCAGTATGGATTTATGTATTTATGTAAAAGTGTATTTATTTTTCCAATATTGTTATTTAATTTTATATAAATATTGCATACATTTACAATGTTTAATGTTAATGTTGACCAGTGAAAATTAAAGACAAGTAGAATGTAATCATAAATGAATTTGTATAATGATTTCTTGAGTCTCTTGCTAAATTGAGATCATATACTTAGTTTTGGTAACGTCTACTACATTTTCTGAAATGTTACTGCACTGTTCCATCTTCTGACTTGCTTTGTTCTTCAACAGAAACCTTCGTTCTCAATAATGAAACAAACACAGTTAAAAGTGTATAAATGATGAAGTTTGGATAACTAATTTCTTGCAAGCATCTGATTGGCTTAGCTTCACTCAAGTTGCAGAGAAATTAGTGCTATAAAATATATACAAATTAAAGCAGAGTCTGAAGAGTCCAAGCCTCAGTCCTCAGGCAAAATTCCACTGGGATATTATGCAGTAACCAAGTGATTTTATCTGGCTGGTTAAATCCAGGTTTTAAAGAGATAAATGAATGAACAGATTCTGTATGTAAATGATAATTTTATAACAGGAGACTGGTGAGATGCCTTGTCATGATAATGTATGTTCAAAGGGGACTAAGAGGAGATGACACTTTTTATTTCCTTGCTTATTTAAGATCATGTATTTTAACACTGCAGAATTGTACACCATGTGATAGACCTGACCTTTTTATTAAAATAACGCTGTAGAAAACACACAGAGACTGTCACCAGGATACAGAGTGTGGATTTTTTCTCCTCTGAATGCCTTATGGTGTGAACACAGATCTCCATACGTGCTCTCAAATACCAAGAGGAAATCTTGCCATGTTCTCCAGAGCGAGGGGAGATGCTCACAAAGAGGGTTATTGTCCATCACTTCCCTTAAAACCCAAGGCTGAACCCACTTCTCTCAGAGCAGATCTGCTCCTTGCAATAATCTCTGTGAAATTTGGGTGCTGTAGAGTTTACCATAATATCCATCTGTATCCTGATACAATTTGTCTATGATGGTGAATTCATTTGTCACGGGTCTTTCCAAGTTAGGAAATGGGCACAGATAAGGTAAAACAATTGTATCTCAGCACCCTATCCTGGTTCAGTTGGGTGAGTCATTTGGTCTTCATGGTCATGGGATGATAGTAACTTGAAATTGACTTGTGGAAAACTGGTGGGTGGTTTCTAGGCTTTGGTTTGTAGTGGGTTTTTTTCCCTAAAGGCTTTTAAAATTCTAAAATGAATCTGCTTTGTTGAGCACTGATGGCTCTCAGGTGTCTAAACTTCTCACTGCTATTGCAAAGGTGGTGCAGCTCTTAGTGCCTGCAAAAAGGCTGGGTGAGCTTCCCAGCTCTTTATCAAATGGGCAGAAATGCTGCTGTCTTAGTCTCCAAGGGCCTTTTGATCTAATCATGAAGATATGGAAGCATAGATCAGCTGGCCAAATGTCAAACTGATGTTACTGTTGATGTGAATTCAGGTTTGGGTTAGGACAATAATCCTTATCCCCTCGGCCAAAGCTGGAAGCTGGTGGCATTGATGGCTTTGCAGAGCTCTTTGGCTGCATGCAGGGATGTGGGGAATGGTGAAGGGGCCCTGGATTTGTTGGGAAGTGGGAGGAGATTGGGCTGCCAGGCCAACATCACCTGTTAGGGAGCTGGTGCTCAGGAGTTTTAATCTTAAAATTGATGTCAATGGAAAGTTTGTTTGTATTTAATTCTGTCAAAGCACCAGCACGTTGTTTACCAAATGCCCTCCCTGTGAAACTGGCTGAAAATAGGCTGTTCAACAGCAATACTCTCCATGTCGTGGTGCTGATAATATTCTTAGCAGGCAGGATGTCAGCTCTTGCTAAGGCAGAAGTGATAACCGGGGGCAGAATTGGTTGCAAGTGTATATAACTCTGCTGTTCTCTTCCTCTCTTCTGCAGAAAATGAATGTGCTGTGACAGCAGCATTACTGAGCTGCTGTGTGATTCTTTACATGTGTTTTTGCAATAACAAAGCCATCCTTGAAAATTAAATGATAGGCATGCTGAACTCTGCGCTCACTCGTGCTTCACGTTGGTTTTTCTGTCCTCGATCCATATGATGTTGATTCAGGCTCTGAGACTGGGACAGCAAGTCTGTATTTCTCTCTAGTGCCATGTATTATCAGAAAACTGATAAAACAACCCTACCCTGAGAGCCTGTGGGGGAAGGACAGATGTTGCCACAGCAGAGGAAGGCTGCTCGTATGGTCCCAGCACCCATACCCAGGCAGAGGGATACACTGGGTGGCTTGTGTGCCTTTAGAAAAACAGAAATAGGCTGAATAAAGCTGATCCAGGCCAAAACCTGAATTGGGGAGCCTATGGGTATCTGCAGCCATCTGTCTGAAGCTGTCTCTGTCTCAGAGCTGTTTGCTGTATGCCTAGGCTGGCCCACCAAGGCTATTGTCCCTCTTGGGTCCTGGCTGTCTCCCCTCTGGGCTCACTCAGACCAACTGACTCCAGGGACTGCCTGTTTCATGTGCTGATGAAAGGCAAGAACTTGTCTGCTTGGGTTCCCCAGTCAGAAAAAGGCCCTTGACAGTGCAGACCTCTGCTTTTGTTAAAAAAAAAAAAAGTGAACCAGACCCATTTCAGCCCTGCCCTCTGCTTCCTGCTCTGTGTCACCTGTTCTAAGCATCCCACCACCAGTGCCCAGCTTCAGCCACCCTCCAGACCTGCATGTCCCTGGGTGACAGCTGGGAATCCACCTCTTTGCTGTTTAATACCTTTTTCAG